GCAAATAATTTCGTCGAAGGTTTACCACAATACCACAATAATAAGAGTTTTTTAGTAACACCCAAATAAACCAAGTGCATACAGTCTAACGGAAAAGATTTGATCATGTCAAGTTGTTTTTCTAAAATTGGCTTTCCAGTATGATGATCAGTTTTTTGTCGGAAGTCACAATCTGTCCTTATACGTAGGTTATGTATGTCAGGAAAATACACCCTGTCAGAGTAATTTCCTTCAACATTACATTTTGAACAGGCAGAATAATCAGAATGACCTTTAATATATTTTACATATTATTTTGCAGGAGCGTCACAAATAATTGCTTTGATATATACTGCAAAATGTTGATTTTGATACAAGAAACCTTTATTGATAACTTCACTTGACCTGACTATATAAACTTTTAGCAAATGGCAATATTTATAAGTATTTTTTATATATTTATAAGAAGACCTACTGAATTATTCAAGGTGTTAATTGATTTTTGGCCTAAACTGTTAAAAATACTATTGAGACACTTATTTAGCCCTGTTTGACTGACCTGTTTGAAGCAAGGTTCTTGCATTCAAAGGCAACTTTTAACAAATAGGTTGTACTAGTTGTAATAAGTCATTTAAAGCAGTATGGGCTATGTTGTGCTTCATTGCCCATTCTGCCAACTTTGTTTGAAATTAGTTATTACTAGTACTACTACTGGTAAAACTATCATAAGTAGGATAACCTTCAAATTCATTGACGTCTGCTATGGAATTAGTATCCGAATTATGACATAAAAACTCACTATTGTCATTGACATTAGGATTTAGTGATTGGTTCACTTGTTGCACTTGCAACGTTGAGTTGTTTGGGCTGCACCCAGGCTGTGAAACGATGTCACCACTAACCGAACTCCGAACTTGTAAAGTTTCTGCCTTTCGGTGGCCCCTCATATATATATAATGTTTGTTTAGCTTACCACTTGCACATATTCGCTTCATGTTCGGTTGTGTATAACTGCAATAGACGATTTAATAAACGAAATTAAATGTTTTCACTCACACAATCGGATGCACTCGAGCAAGTTCGTCAAAACGTCTTGTAATAGACATTTAAAAGACGTCTTGTGTCAGGCATTTACAAGACGTCTTGTAGTAGACATCATTAAGATGTCTTAAAGACGTCTTCAAGAGACATACGACGTTCAGACATAACGGCATAATGAAGAGGTCTTAGAGACGTCTTGTGCTGTCTGGGTGTATGTATAGTCTGTACGTTATAACTTTGGTCGCACATCACCAGTGACAAAATTTGACTACCAACGTAAAAACAATTATAAATGAAATTTGTGTGATAAGTCGAATCTTTTTTGTTGTGTTTTGGACATTGGAGAACCTCAAGCAATCATTAAATACTGTAACTACTAAAATACTGAAATACCAAAGAACTTTAAATTACTACCTAATTTAAAGCATGTTGATTATTTGTGTTCATCTTTAAAATTATTAGGTTGGTGAAAATTACAATTCTGCCGAATCGATCGTAGATTTATCGGAAACACATAACGTTTGCTTGTTGGATTTGTCATGTACTTGTCCATGGCTTTTGCGTTGGCGGTATATTTGTATTTTTCAAATAAACCATTATTCTATAAATAATAATCAGCAAAAGCGAGACAGCACTGAGATAATTTAATACTGCTTCGAGAATTTATGGAGGGTATGGCAACAACTAGGGACGATACGGTCCTGAGAAAGTATCGATACTTACTCAAATGAGTGCTAACCAAATCGTCTTGCAATACTGCTCAAATCAGTATTCTGAAAGTATCGAAACCATTACCTGCTCACAATTTTATTTGTTGACTCGATATTGAGTGACTACGTATAATCGTCATAAACACATTTTAAGTATACATTTTCGATGAGTTTCAAGACCGAAATTCACTATTACCCTGAATTTTAACTGTGAACAGCCGTTTAAAGAAGGGATCGTAATAAAATTCATGGAATATATTTTAATGCAATTATTATATAATAATAACCATAAGGTAAACAAAAAAATATTTCTGAAGGTTTTCCAAAAAACCAGTTGCTGAAAATATTTAGGGGACAAGCTTTTCTTATTGTGCGTGATAGCAGCACCAGCTCTATGAAATAGATATTCACTTATGGAAGTTGGGAAATACCGTTTGCATGTCTCCCAATGGGTCACTTTTCAAAGATTTGATGAGATAAGATTGTTGTTGAGACATTGTTGTCGTATTTTTGATACAGTTTTAGGCAAATTTCTCAGTATTTAATAACAATTAATTTTTTTAACTATTTTTCCGTTCTCCTAAAACACCACCAGACAACACCTCCAGAGGAATGACGCGAATTTTGAATCACCCTGTATGAATGTTTTCTAATTATTTATCTTAAGTTATTCCCGCTTGTTCCCGAACGGATTTTCGCCTATTTATTTCTAGATTTATTACTCGCTTCCACGGAGTTCTTCTCTTTTCGGAAATATTTCTCTTCTTTCTTCTTTTTTACCAAGTCATGTAAGTGTGCTGGTCTCTGGGTTGCATTAGCTACTGCGTTAATTCTTATAATCGTTTATTAATACTTGCTGCATTCCATTACTTTTGAAAAGTTATGTTTAAAGTTATGATTAAAACCGATCTTCAGGACATCTTTTGGTATAGAGAATCTGTAAAAAAAATTACAGCAACTTATGTTATTTTGAGTTCGAAGTAACCTGTATATGATGATAGTTTATCATCCATGCATTAAACTTGTTTTCCTTACGAATTCGTCGGATTGATCATTTCTCTTTCTCGTTCGACTTCAAATCCTTGTCATATTTTTCTTATGTGCTTTCTAAACTTCAGTCACACTTCTCTGTTAAGGCGTTTTGAATATCTTTAATTAGAGGCATACTTTTTTCATACATACATAAAAGTTTTGTCTTTGTTATTTGGTTTAAGTCGCCAGTCGCTAGGTGTTTTATTTCTAACATCTGCACCGCTTCTTTAGCTCTCTTTATCTTTGTTCTCTCCCCAACAACAGCGAGGATATATCTCTTGATCAATTTCTTCAGCTTCGCGTTTCTCGAATTTTTATTTGGCTTTCTACTTAGTCGTTATTTTCCACATTAAGCAGTTTCTGGAAGTACTTTGTCCATCTCTTCAGTATATTCGTTTGCTTTGTTATGAACCAATTTTTATTTTTCATCTGTATTATATTTTCGTCCTTTTTTTGCAACTTTAGGATTTTAAAGAAAATCACCCATTTGTCTTTATTACAGGGTGACAATAAAAAAATGACCTCTAGCAAAAACTTCATAAAATTGTTAATTTTCAATAAAAACAAAATTTATCAACAAGGGTCGGTTTCGAAGTGCTCTTCTTGCGCGTCTCGGCAGAGCACCCAACGCCTCTTCCGGCGACAATCTCTCCCATTTCTGACGCAGCTACTCAAAAGTTTTGTGGCGTGTAGCACAGGGCTTGGCCAAAATAAACCACATAATGTAGTCCATCGGATTGAGATCCGGTGAGTAGGGCGGCTATTCTGAATACGAGATGAAATCCGGAAAATGGGTCCGGCACTAGTCCTGAGTCACTTTCAAATTGTGTTGTGTGAGTCCTGTTGGAACGTCGAATCCGCATTGCCAAAGTACTACTGGACCCACGGAAGTACGACGGCTTCGAAGATGTCACGGTAGTAGACGTCCCTGTTGATTTTCACCCTCTGTTCCATGAAAACGAGGGGGTGTTGTCCCTGACGCAACTAGCCCCTATTGTTCTCGTGATTGTGGGCTTGTTTGACGGTGAACAGCTTGTTTATCCTCCTCATCCCTGAAGATGATTTTGTCCCACTGAAGGGGGCGCCCGGAGCGTGGCGACGAAGGAGTCGTTCGCATCTTTCAAGCCGTGCGCGCTTGTCGTCGTCGGTGACGAGCTGAACTTTTTGCAGCCTGTAGGGCTTGAGATGGATATCCTCTCTGGCTATTTGGCGGATTGATTCCCGATTTAAATCAGTCTCACTCGGATTTCGTGTGACACGTTATCGGACGAGCTTTCGGTTCTTGACGGTGCGCTTTCTGCTACTTCCTGGACGACGACCAGTAGGGCCGAGCTCTTCAAAGCTCTTGATGGTTCGCCCGACGTTAGATTTGTCGATCCCGAGCGTTCGCGCAATATCGATCGGACGCTTTTCAACTCTTGTACTTAATGTCAACTTTTTTCTTTTTGGTTTGACATCTTAATAAAATAGCTTAAAAGTGTTGAATAAAATTGAGACCGAACATGTATGTAGTATTTTTAACGGATAATCGAATAAGAACAATAAAAAGTTTCAAACTTAATAAATATTCCTGTCATTTTTTTATTGTCACTGGGTATATCCGTGCATCTTCTAGCCAACTTCTACCCGCATTCTTCATTTTTAATAAACCATCATCAACTTGTCATGAGGATGCCATGCATTGAAACGATAAACATTCCTGCAACGTCAGCACTTATGGCAAGTGTCCATATTATTCAGGTTTCTTACAAATATGGCATACTGTTGGGTTCAGCAAGCTTTTACCTTTGCCAAAAATATGCAAATGTTTATTTGTCTATGTTTGAAGCAGCAAATTAATTGACTGAAAATGGAAATAATAAAACTCTTGCGTTTATTTATGTTGCTTTATTTTTCCTGTTTCAAATGCGCTGGGTTTTTAAGTTATAGGTCCATGTTCCTAGACCGAGCGTACACTTATTAGATTTAATTAATCAACAATTTACAGCAAGCTGTAGGTTTTTACTTTTTTCTATTTTTTACTACTTTTTATTACAAAGTAACTGTAACTGAATTTTTCTATATTTCTCAATTAATTGCGCACATTAATAGTAACACTATTCTAAAAATCCAATAAAATCCAGTAACAACAAGCTAGTAGTTTCTTATATTTAAACATAACTATCTAAAATGCTTAAAAACTTAATTTTCAGTAGGTACCTACCATTACTTTGAAATAACTTAGATTTTAAATTTCAGGTGTGGCAGCCTAAAGATGTCACACCATAGCGACGACAATATGCTGATTGCGACGAGCGACTCGTTTTGGGAGCCAGGAAATTACAAGAAGACTACAAAGAGAATCGAAGATGGAAACAAGCTGTGTTCGGACTTGATAACATTGGCCAGCGAGAGAGCTGAGATCGAGAAGACGTATGCAAAGGCTCTAAAAGCATGGTAAGTGCAGAATACACATAACTTAGTAGCTGTGCAGTTTTTATCTTATTTGCGAAATACTTTGATTTAACTATTGCCGATTTGCTGTGCTCCTATTATTGGCAGTTTGTTGTGTATTTTGCAAGTAAAAACTAATTTTTTTCATTTTTAAATTGTAAACAGGTATGATATAAAATTGAAGAGTACTAAACGGGGTTTTGTTATTCGTTTGTTGATCGAAGATATCATTTGGTCATAATCTATTGCGCTTTAAGGCATTATTTATTGCTAAGAATTTGTTAGAAATGGGGGTTGTTGGTTGCAAACTCTGCGTTTGCAGAGAACATTCCTTAAGCAAATAAGACTTACAAGTAAATACCCAAAAATTTTAAATGTTTTAACTTTAATGTTTTAAATATTCGTTTACATTTTCTTCTTCTCAATCTTGAGAAAGTCTATGACATAAATTTGATTTGTACATTTTACTCTGAACCATTTATCAACAAAAAATACTAGCTTTTTTGTTTCGTACTTTTCACTTAAACAAAAGTTTTATTTTTATGAAACTATTAGTATTTTGCATTATTTCTGTTTTTGTGCCATTATGTATATCTTACTTTATGGACAGTTATTAGCTATGAAACAGATGTAAATACGTTTTTTCGCAGTTGACCAGTGTCTTGAAGGAACGAACGTAATGTAACATAAACTTTTCAAACTGTACATGTTTTATGCCGCTGAGTTTGAATGTGCATACATTTAGAAATTTTGTTTGTGTCAGGTTTTATACTAACATTTTTCTAACTGAACATTTAAATAAATAATGATTCTTAACAAAATTGGAACTTAATTTTCAGATACTAATATTTTACGTAATTATTTAAAAAAATAATTAATAACAGGTAAAAATGTTGTTGAGGTTCCAACTTTAATGAAAAATTAAACACGAAAACACTGGAAATCGTAAAATGGGGATGCAGTTTAGGGGTTTAAAACGTTTTTTTGCGATTTGCGGCGAAACGTGACCTCCTTGCGGGAAAGGTTCAATGGCAGAGTTGGAGATAATAAAAAATATGAAACGTCTATATTTAACACTTTTTGACATAACCTCAAATTAACTGTCAAAATGGCGAAAAATAGATTTTTTGGAATTAAATTTTTTTCCTCAGGCTTAAATGAATTAATTAACATGAAACTTTGTAAAATTATGTCTTTTTTGGTGTTGAGAATGATGATTTTTTGGCAGTTCAGAATTCGATTAGTTTTCGAGTTATGTACATTTTTCGAAAAAAACTATCCTTTTTTCCACGAACATTGTCTTGATATTGTAATGGAAATGGCCTGGGGTACTCACGTTTGAAATGGAGAGATCAAAATTCATAGTATTTCAGTAAATGGGAGGACTGGGCTACCTGAAGGAATCTATATAAGCGGCAAGGAGAACCACAGGGGGGGAAGTGAAGTAACAGGAGCGAACGGGTGCGGAGGAGGTTGAACCCCGCGAGTCGGAGAAGCGAGTTTTCCGTCGGTTATTGTTATTGTTTGTGAAGTTGACGGTAATTTTGAAGTTAGTTTGTTCCTGTTCCGTATTTAAAGTGATACCGAGTTGAATAAAAGTTGGAAGCTGAAGAAAGAGTTTGATACTCGGCCATCAACGGTACAATATTTATTTATAAATTTTTTTAGTATTTGATGTCTATACGTGGTCATAAGAGTGGATTTCAAATATATTTCTAATCATAGTTGTATTTCAGCCTTAATATGTGTAATGAAATATTTTATGTTATTTATTTAACCTTTTTGAACATGGTTTGCGCTACTTACTGCAATAAAATTCTTGCCACTGTAATATTCTTACATGAAAGCAACTTATATTATGTAAATATAGCCCATTATTAATGGAAATAATATCAAAGCGATATCGAAAATCATTGAAAATATTGAACAAATCATGATTTAGAGACTTAAGTTTTTCGCACTTTTCAGCTGTTCAACGATAAATAAATCACCAAGTCATATAGACTATTTTAAAGTAGACATTACAGCAATTGAAATGACTACTAATACACTTTCCAAATCCAAAAAAGATCAAGACGTTCGTGGAAAATAAGAGTAGTTTTATCGAAAAATGTACTTAACTCCAAAACTGTCAAAAAGTGTTAAATACCTACAAAAGTTTTGTGTTTTTCACAAAAAAAAAACATTTTTTGCTAGTTGGTTACGTTTCGCCGCAAATCGTTAAACCCCGTTTTCAGCCCCTAAATTGCATCCCCATTTCACTATTTCCAGTGTTTCCAAAGTTGGAAGCTGAACAACATTTTCCACCTGGTCCTTGCATATTATTCATTTTTTTACAATGTATATGAAAATTCGTATTATATTGCATTCGTATTGTATTCTACACAATATGCATTTAGGATCCTATAATTATATATTTTTTTTTAATATTTATTATTATTTTAAATATTGTTTTTAATTAAATACTTAATTATTTAAATTATTTTAAATATTAAAAATGGTGTAAAAAATAATTAAATCATAGCCATCATGCAGTCTTAACTCTCTGCAGTTATTAGTGACAAATTAATGGCCAGTTAACTAGTGCTAATAATTCATATGATTATCGCATAGTAGGTATTATTTTTAAATAATGAATCACTGAAAGATACCATCACCAGACATAAACGTTTTATAAATATTTATATCGTGTACTTCATGGTGTAAGAATGCAATTTGATGTGCTTGTTGTTATTTTGTTTAATGTTCTTTATTAAATTGTGGTTAATTTATACTGCAACTCTTTGTTTTAATGTTATAAGTACAAAATTCTTTTGGGTCCAAACGCACGTAATTATAAGCATTTTATTTCTTCTATACGCCAGACTTCAAAACTAGCCAGTGATTGAAATAATTAGTGGAACATAGAAAATTCATGTATGTGTGTGGCTCTAAAGCACGAATGTTTTCCTGTAAATAATCAACCATATTTTAAATGTGTCATCATCATCAACAGCCGTTTTGTGTCCACTGCTGGAGGCCTCCCGTAAGTCGTCCCACCATCCCGTGGGGGGACGTCCTCGGTTTCTATATGCTTCGTGCCTGTGTCTCCATTCTAGGATTTTCTTCTAGGGACATCTTCCATCCCTGACTCTGGCAACATGGCCTGCCCAGTTCCAATTCAGCGCAATCCGTTCAACTTAGTCCGTAACACCGGTTTTTCCTAATTATATTATTTGGAACTCTGTCTGTGAGGGATAAATTCAACATTGATCCCGCCATCGCTCTTTGTGCCACTTGTATTTTGTTTGTTATCTTCCTGGTAAGTCAGTGTTTCTGCTCCATGAGTTAGAACCGGGAGCACACATTGATCAAAGACCTTCAGACACATGGGATTATCTGATTTAAAGACATCCTTCAGTTTTCCGTAAGCTGCCCATGTCAGTCCTATTCTCCTCAGTCGAAAACGTGCTTCAAACCGTCGTTTTGGATGCAGTTGCGTTATCATACACCATATTAATTGAAGTGGTTGACCGGCATTTGCTTTATCAAACTTACATTCGGTATTACACTACGCACTTTTCCCGGATTTATTGGGCAATTTATTGAAGGACACCACAAATGAATGCAAAGCGAGGAATCGGGCTGCGATCGATTAATCGTACGATTTAGTGCGGACTTAGAGCATGTTGGAAATTTATACAGATTGTGAAAATTTTCTGGGCATTTTTTGGGAAAGGGTTTCAGATGTTGAACATCTGTGTTGTATGCAAGTTTAACAAATTAGTAAAGTACATTAGTCGCTTCTTAGAAGGCATAATTAAAGAATTTGGCTCTTGGGCAACAGAAAATAGTAGACCTTAAGTATTGAAATTTATGTTGGTTTTACTGAAATTACACTAATTTATTGATATAACAATATCAAAGCGTAGGGTCAATGACGGAATATAGAAGAAGATAACCCTCAATAATTGACCCATTTTATTGGCCAATAAATCGGGAAAAAATGCGTAGAGTGTACTGTTGAACGATCATTCCGCAGCTTGAAAAGAATAAAAACCTGGCTCTTAGCCACTATGACACAGTCGCCTCAATAGCCGCATAATGATCAATGTGTACATACTTAAAACTTATTTTCCAGAACTTGGATGAAATTTATGTTTTCGGTGTGTGCTTGGTATTTTTTTTTGTTTATGTTCTACTTTTATTTTTTAAATTAACAACATTCAGTTGGTGTATTTCTACCTAGAAAAAAATTCTACCAGTCTTCATTCCATTCCCAATTTGTTTTTAACTCGCCCTTCTATATATCCATATCCATTCGCATATTATATTCCAGAATAGTTCGTTACTGTAGGTTATGATAAGTTTTTGTCTGTTTATGTTATTTAACTTAAAATAGGCATACATTAATATCAATTACGCAAAATCCTAAAAAAATACAGAAATTGTAAATTCAGTTTTGGAATGAATCAATGTAGTTAAAGATGTGTTTTCATATATGAAGATGATATAATATCGGTAAATGTCTGGGAAAAGGTCATGCAATCGGTACACGCATTCTATTCGGATTTTTATATCATTATGTGGAATATAATTGACAAACTAAATGTTGAACAATTGAAATCTAAGATAATATATACAACACATATTTATAAATAAAATCACTAAAAACTGCTTTATAACCTTTCCAGAGAAACTCACCCACAGTCTGATTTTCAATGTTCATTTTGATTACATATAGCTTTGGTCAACTTTTATTGAATAGGAGCTGTTCTGTTTGAATTATCATTGAAAACATCGAATTTTTTATTGAAAATCATTACTAGAATGACTCGAGGTTGAAATATTGCAGTAGTGTAGTCGACTAGTTGCAAACCATTGCAAATCGTCGGAATATTTTCCCACTGCACAAACAGCTTTAATCATGGTGGATGTGACTAAACAACGCATGCATTTTAAATTGGATTTTTCCTGTATTTAAAATTCTCCCGCCGGTTTCGATAAATAAATATCCTTCAAGT